TGTTGGGAGCTTTGAACAGACAGCCGCTCCTCTCGCGAAAAATGAGATTCCGAGGAAAGTACGCACCCCAGCCCACCATGTCGTCCACAGGCCGAGAGGCCCGATGCCGATCAGCGGCGCCATCGCCATCGCCCCGTCACCCTCCACCGACCCCAGCCAAGGGCAGGGCATCGACGCTCACAGTGGCCTCGAACAGCCCCAACTTTGCCACGCCGACAGCGTACGACGAGCAGTGGACACAAAGGGTGAGCGACCTGGAGGGTATCCCTCGTCTCTCGGGGCATGGTGCACTCCTATGTGGTATGTGCTGTTGTGGCTGTATGCGTGGCTTGCAGTGGCCGCGGGACGCGGTCTTCTGCAACATCGACCAGAGCTGCTGGCTCTCATCAGATCAGAGCTGCAGAAGATCCTGCGAGTGCGCCCCCTGGCCACATACCTGCTGGCAGTGCAGAGTGAGAAGCCGAGCCGCCCGACAGTGCAGCACAGCACAAAGCGACAGACGACGCACACACGGACTGCATCGTTGGTTGGACTCCCTCTCTGTCTGTCGATCAGGTGCCACGTCGTACACTCAGCGGAAGAAGTCACTGGTTCAGCGCTTTGAGGCCTACGCCCCAGCGCTAAGCGGTACGTTCGACTGATACCAACTGACGCAGACAGACAGACACACAGCTGTAGGCCTGGTTGATTCGTATGTGTGGATGGACAAGAGCAAAGAGAACCTCGGTCGTCTGGGGAGGGGAGCCCGCGCCACACGAGCCAACGACAAGGCACCAGAGTCCTCACTACTCTGGGAGACGCTGCTCGTCACGAGGTAGGTCCGTCGACTCCACCGGCCGCAGCCAAGGGCAGAGCCTCCACGCTCGCCGTTGTGTCCAACAGCCCCCATTTCGCCACGCCGACAGCGTACGACGAGCAGTGGACACAAAGGGTGAGCGACCTGGAGGGTATACCGTGTCTCTCGGGGCATGGTGCACTGTGTTGTGGCTGTGTGCGTGCAGTGGCCTCGGGAGGTGGTGTTTGTCAACATCGACCAGAGCTGCTGGCTCTCCTCCCTCCTCCACAGCATCCTCAGGGTGCGCCCCTTGGTGACGTACCTGCTCGAGAGTAAGAAGCCGAGCCGCCCGGCAATGGAGCACAGCACAGAGCGACAGACGACGCACACACTGACTGCATCGTTGGTTGGACTCCTTCTCTGTCTGCCGGTCAGGTGGTTCTTCATACACCATGCGGAAGGAGGCACTTGTGGAGCGGTTTGAGGCCTACGCTCCAGCGCTATGCGGTACGTTTGACTGATACCAACTGACGCAGACAGACAGGCAGACAGACAGACAGACAGCTGGAGGCGGGAGAAGCCACACTGCCTCCCGCCAGTCAACATGGTCCAGCTCTCGCAAGAGCAGCTAGACCTCTGACCGGAAGAGGTACCCTCGAGGATGCCATCGACGCAACAAAGATCGAGGTGATGGGACTGAAGAAGAAGATGAAAAGGAAGAGCGGAAAGAAGAAGTCGCGGTCAACATCAAAGGTCCGCCATCCCGTTCCCGACTACGTGGAGGGCGGACTGCTTGAGGCGCCAGAGGGATTCGGCCACATGCTGGGCTACCTAAACGACATAAGAGACCAGCAGCCATTCATCGAGGCGACCCGTCGGATTGAGAGGGGGACGGGCGGATCTTTCGTCTGTCCTCTTTGGCGAGAAAGGAGGGGGGCCTCCACGTTTATCGAGGCACCTTCCCAGGTAGGTACCTAGGTGGGCTGCATGGGCTGCGGTTGGGCGCATTGTGGGCATTGGCAAGCGATGCGTTCATTCATCCCCCTGACGTGTGGCGATGTGTGTGTTTGCAGGCAAGGATGCCTGTTTCAAAATGCTGTGTGTGGACGCCCCTCCCGGCCGAGCGGCCCTCAAGACGCTGCCCGCAACGGAGGCCTTCTAAAATGACAAATTCCATGAATTACAAATTTCCGTCGGGCATCCCTTGCGCACCCTTCTTCTCCACTCCACGGGCCCCCCTCGCGTCGCGTCTGTCCGTCGTGAGTCTCATCGCCGCACGGATGGATGGATGGATGGATGAGAGCACACGCAAGCAACACGCATGACACACCGCAGAATCCAATGCGTGTTTCTGTCTGTGCCACATGTGTGTGCGTGCCTGCCCAGGCGATCTTGTCGTTCGTTAACCTCACGGGGACGTTGCAGAGGTGACCGACGCCATCCAACCAACCGGTTATGTCGAGAGGAGCCTGGGGAAAGAAGACACCGGTAAGGGGGAAGAGCGGCGAGAGAGGCAGTGCAGTGCAGGGCATATGCAGCACATGCACTCACTGTATTCTGTGCTTGCAGCGTGCTCACGTCAAGGTGGTTTCGCATTCGTGGTGTGGACCGGGTGCTGCTTCAGCTCGTTCCTACAAGATGACACTCGGCGACAATTGCTCGGCGAGCCGCGAGAGACTCTCAGGCGGACGCTGTGGTGGCGGGATCATGTAGGGGACCGATTCGAAGTCGTTGTTCGCGGGTCACAGGTACTTGCTTTCTTGTCCCCCAATGTCCCTCTTGCCTTCTTGCTTTTTCCCGTTCAGAGTATGCTTCAGAGCCCACCATTGTACGTGCTGCCTGGTCTGCATGTCTGTCAGATAAAACACCAGCTGTGGGACATATTGCAATGGGTGAAAAGCGCCGACGTACGTACTTCTGTACATTCGAAAGCTGCCTGCATAATCCTGGCGTACACGTCCATCCTACCGCAGGCCAAGACAAGGGACAACACAGCCTACGACAAGTAGGCGGCAGAAACACTCTTTTGGTAGGAGAACACTGAACAGCACCTATGGGTGTGTCTCATTTCCTCTGTGTCCCGTCCATTGATCCGCAGGATTTGGGAGAGACAGCCGAGAGGGCACGGCTGCGGCGGGCGCTGCGAAGGCGATGCGGTGGCCACACAACCAGCTGGTGGGCGGCCGCTACGAGGCCGCATGCTTCCGAGATGAGGCACTTGCAGCGCTCCACTGGTCTGAGGAGCTGCAGTACCTCGTCGGTCGCGACGGTCAGCCATGCGGCCTCGTCGGTGGGCAGCCCACGCTCCAGCAGCGGGCTGACGACGACTCTGGGGGGCGGGGCTGAATTTGGTCTATGGCGACTGCCAAGAAGGTCGGGGACCTCGGCTTCAGGTGCCTGCAGACCCATATGGCCTTCCGACCAGCCCTGGAGGGCATCCTCAAGGCACTCGTCAGCCTGGAGCGGCAGCTGTGTGGCGACATCGACCGCACCATCCGAATGCACAAAAACATGGACGTAAGCCTGCGACGATTTCTTTCAGGAAATCGACAAAGAGACCTGTATTCCTTCGTGTTATCCCTTCCCTCTGACGGCTTCGCCTCCTGACTGCAAAAACGATGCCGTCAGACATGGAGACATGGTGGGCGGGCGGATGGATGGTGTGTGGCCCCTCTGCACGCAGCATCTGTCCATCCATCAGTCGCTGTCTACATTTTGTATCCTGATGTTCCTGTGGCACCCGATGGATGCGTTACATGACCTGTGGAGGGAATGACACAAGATGACGATGAATCGAGTGTTGTCCCATGATTTGCGTCTGGGTGCCTGTTGTGCGATTTGTCAGGTTTGGCTGGCCTTGTTATGTTTTGCATCGCTCAGCTGTCTGTCTGTCTTTCTCTGTGTTTATCCATTTCATTCGCGGGCCGACGGATTGACGTCCTGCGAATGATTGAATGGAAGAGTGTACGTCACGTGGAGACTCCTTGCTAGCGCGTGTGGCTGCAATTGTGTGGTTGGGTTGTTGGGCCGACACGGGAGAGGGAGGGAGGGAGGGAGGGGCAAGGGAGACATCCATCGACCTCACAACGATCGATCTGCCTCCTCATCTAGGTAGGTACCTTGGTCCCACCACGTGACTGACGTGAGAGTGAGTCCTCAATCGCACATATCAGTCAGTTAACTGAGTTTCACAATCTGCAGTGCACGCACTCTCATCACTGCAAACCCATACACACACACACACCGTGTCACAAACAACAATGACTGACTGACACAGCACAGCACATCGACTGTGTCTGCTCAAACTGTGTGCTGCTCAAACTGTGTGTGTGGCGGGGGTCGGTTGGCTTAAGCTATCGTGAGTCTCCTCTCTAAGACGGCCACAGGCAAGCGACAGACACATAGCCAGGGTGCTGGCGGGCACCTGGCGCTCGCCCATGGGAATGTCAGATGAGAGACAGAAGACACAGAGATAGAAGCGACCAACCCATCCATCGACAGACACCCTCACCTCCACACACCAACAACACAATCGGTCGGTCGGCACCAATCAAAGAGATAGATAGATAGTAGGTCTGTCTAGCCTCGGATAGGACTCGTCTTAGGCAAGCGACCTCCTCCCTCACCCACCCGCGCCTCGTCGTCCACGCCCGCCCAACGCAACGCAACGCTGGAGAGGGGCGGGAGACACACAAAAGGAAAGAGCCCCTCGCTCTCAATCGAGGGCAATAGTGCAAAAATCTCAGTCTGTCGGTCGGTCGGTCATGCAGCCCATCATTTCTTCTTGACGTCCAGAGCTGTCTTGGTCGCCATGACAGCATCCAACGTCCGCTCCTTCTGCACACACACACACACACACACACGACCATATATCAGCCAGCCGCCCCACACCTTCTCTATCGGTGGTTATGTGGCTGGCTGACCAGTTCTTCGAACTCCTGTATGTTCTCGATGAGTGTCTGGCTGTCGGTGATGAAGGCGGCCCGGTGGGCGGGGGGCTCCTCGCCGCGGGGCAGACGGCCCTCGTCAACAACCACAAGCGCACCGGAATCCAACAAACCCTGACGAACGAACACATGTATACTATGAGATGAGAGATACATGCGGGAGCACACGTGTGTGTGTGTGTGTGCGTGTGTGGCTCACCTGCAGCTGCCCCGCTTCGTGCATCTTGAGCAGGCGATCGGTCTCGGCCCGAGACTTGGTCTGAGGAACGAACAAGGAGGGAGGGAGGGAGGGAAGGAGAAATGGCGTGCGTGTGTGAGAGGTGTGTGGTGCAGTGCAGTGCAGAGCAGTGCATGTGTCCGTTGGCAGGGCTGGCTGCATCCCTACCATGATGTTGTCATTCATGGCATACAGCAGCTGCCGATACACAGCGCACTCTTGCCTGTGTGGCAGTGCCACACCACACACACAGAACAAGACAGACCGCATAGCATCAATGGGCGTACGTGTCTATCAGATCCATCACGCTGCGCTGCGCTGCCCACCCACCTATATCTCCTCTCGACTGCCTGTGTCTGCTCCACCATCTTGTCAGCCGGCACCTCGACGGCTGAACCAAACCGCTCCTGCAAACCAAACACGCACCAGCACATCACAATCACGTGCATTGCCAAATACGGAAACCACACCAATGACACGGCACGGCCGGCATGCACTCACTCCACACTTGGTGTGTCTGTTGATCGCATCGCGCACCTTCATTTCCTCAAGGTATGCCTCGTAGACGGGCCGTGAGGGGTCGTCGACCTTGAGCCGCCTCATGAAGGCCTCACCCACACTCTCGTCCTCCGTCTTGAACCTAAACACAACACACACATGCCACCAGCCACTGGTGTGTGTGCGGTGTGTGTGGCATCTGCCGGCCGATATACCTACCATGGTTGTGGTCTCGAGTCGAGGAGCTGTGTGAAGATGCTGAGCATGGTGGAGTACGCGGGGTTGAACCGCTGGCCGCTCAACGTCACGTGATCCTGATACGCACACACATACACACACACACAGACCACACACATCAGATGTGATTCATGTGGCCAGGTCAGCAGGCAGAGACTTCATGGCGCGTCATGTCATGTCTTGATCAATAAATAAATACCATGAGGGAGTTGAAGGCGTCCGAGGGCTTGGGGAACTCCTGATGGATGGAGGAAGACACATCCACACAAAACAAGAAAGAAGCCACCCACGGGCCGGCCATTCACCCCATCCATCCTTTGCTGTCTGTCTGCCACCCCGCCCACCGTACGGACCGTGGGAATGCCAGGTTTGTAGAAGAGGGCGTTGACGTCATCCCCCAGGCTGTAGAGCTTCCCCTGACCATCGTCCACACCCAACGCCCTGAATGACACACCAAACCAACCACACACCACAACACAACACACTCAAGTGACACCCACTTTCGCCACACACCACCACCACCCACCCTCATCTCATTGGTCCACCCACCTGTGCAGTGCTGTTGTGGTCTGGACAGGAATGTATGGGTAGCAGAAGAGGATGAAGTTGCCCATCAGCCGCGCGGCGACGCTCTCGAACTGCGCCTTCTCCGTCGCGATGAATTTCTGGTGGAACTCATCGCCGTCGTGCTCGTAGTCGAGCGGCTGCATGTCCAGCGCCATCACACGCGCCTCCTTCTCCATCTGGAACACCGAACGGCGACGCTGAGTCTGCACACACACACACACACACGAACAGACAGACAGACTCATGGGTGGTGTGTAAGGCAAGGCAGGTGTGTGTGTGTGTGTGGCATACGTCGTACCACTGAGACGAACTGCCATCTGAGTTGCTCGATGTGCGTGAGCCACTGCCATGGCGGGACCTCTGGGAAGAACCGGTAGTCGCCCCCCGTCCGGAGGAGGTAGTACACCATGTGCTCGACAAAGGCACGCCTGACAAACCGATAGATGCATGGATGGATGGATGGATGCAGGGACGGCAGAAGGAGCTCTGTGTGTGTGTACCTGTGAATGTCGTAGTATTCCCATGAGGGCAGCTGCGTCATGTTTTGGTTGTTGGTGGGGGTGTCGCTGCGGTCGTTCCACAGCCGCGTGTCCGCAGACACGTCCGCATCCACCATCTGACAGAACGAACGAATCGAATCAATCAATGGATGAGTCATGTGACACGTGTGACACGTGCGTCGGGTGGGTGGAGGTGTGTGTGTCCCTTACCTTTTGGAAGTCTTCCGACTCGGGGTCGGCGGGTTCGCCGGTGGTGGTGTGGCGGTACATGTGCTTCTCGAAATACGCCTGCCAATACTGATCAGAATCCACCCACTGAGCGACAGACAAGACACGCACAGCGCACAGATATAGAGAGGGAGGGAGGGAGGGCCCCGGCCGCATTTGCATGTGAGATGTGCGTGTGTGGTGTGTGTGTGCTGACCTCGCTGGGTTTGATTTGCCATGGCAGTGGGTTGTGGAATGAGATCCACAGAGCTCTCGCGCCGTTGTCAATGATCTCATCAGAGGCCTTCACCGACTCCCGGCAACTCGACACCTGCAAAAACGACACAACCCACACACAGACACACTGCTCCTACTACAGGTGGACTGATTGATGTACGTGTGTCTGTGTGTGTGTGACACGCACCCCTTCCTCCCAGAGGTGCCATCCCTCTTTCTGGTTCTCTGTGATGATCTTGCGGTGGTCCTCCCGCAGCGCAGAGTCGAGCACTGACATCTGATGCTCGTAAAACGCCTTCATGCTGTCATAACACACATACAAACAGACACACATCTTAGCGCATCATCAAGCGTTGCTCTTTCCAGCTGCGTATGCACGCCACGCTCTGACTGGCTCACCAAGTGACGATGTCTTTGTGTGTGATGGTGTCCTCCCAGTACTTCCAGTTGATGGGCGGGGTGGTGTCCTTCTCGAACCGAGTGGCGACCGACTCCACATTGAGGTCCCTCGCGCGCAGCTCACGCCACGCCGCCGCATCCTTCTCCGTCAGCGTGTAGGCCCCGAGGTTGTGCCACGACTCACGACGCGGCAACACGCGACGCACACACCTGATGAACGAAACGAACAGCAAGCCGAGCCGCACACATCCAACACACGAGATGCGCAGGGCGGAGCAGCGCAGAGTAGAGGGGCAGCAGATCTTGTGTGTATGCTTTGTACCGTCGTATGAGCATTGCAATGCACAGACAGACAGGGCCCTCACGAGTGCCGAGGGAGGGAGGGAGGCACACAGACAGACAGAAGGGACCAAGGAAGCGAAAAGGTCTCTCTGCAGCTGCACAACACTCTTGCCTTGTCACAAGCCGTGCAGCATCCCTCTACGCGAGGCAGACCTTTTGCAAGGCTCGCATTCCCAGACGGACGAATCTCGGCTTTTTGAAGCCTTCCCAGCCTTGCACAGATGTCAGGAGGCAACGGCGAGCTGGCGTCAGGGGACGGCGCGCCTGGCGCGGCGAACGGCGAGCACCCGCAGCGCAACGAGTCTGAGGACACCTTGTCGAGCCAGCAGTCGGAGGATGCCTCCAACGCATCGGCATTCGACTACTTCGACCCCTTCCTCACCGATATGGAGGGCGAGGCATTCAATGCCGAAAGCGACCGAGAAGATATGTGAGTAGTGAGCCACCAGGCCTCAGGGAGGGAGGGAGGGAGGGACAAAACACCACTCACCCCACCTATCCAATCCATGCCGGTCACTCGCCACACGTGTGTGTGTGTGTGTGTGTGTGTGTGTATGGCGTGCGGTGCGCAGGTTTGATTTCGACGATCTGCAGTCGGATGATGATAGAAGTCTGCAGGGCGCCGAGGAGGGGCAGGGAGGGGCATACCGCCGCCGAAGACCCGGGGAGTCCTCCAAGCACTTCGACGAGGGGGGATTGGGCAGCCAGGGCCAGGCGGTGGGGTCGCGGCGGCGGCTGCTGGGCGTGGGGATGCGGATGCGCAAGGCCGAGAAGGAGATGGACTTTGACTTCGTCGACCTCAACCTCAACTTCGCCATGGACCTGGTGGACATCGTCAAGTCGACCAACAAGATGATCAAGACCATCCCAGAGCACCTGCGGGTGCGGCTGCGGCAGAGGAAGGAGCGGATGTTGACCCGCGCACACCGGCTGTGGAAGCGGCTCGAGGACGCCAAGACCAAGAAGCTGCTGCACAAGATCTGCTTCCTCGTGCTCTTCTTCGACATCATCATCTCGTCGTTTCTCGTCGGCGCGCGGCCCAGCTACTTCTACGCCTGCCACACCGTCAAGCTCATCGTCATGCTGCTCCTGCGGTTCGTCCACTACCGGATGAAGCGGCACCACTACTACCTCTTCGACTTTTGCTACTGGGCCAACTTCATCCTCCTCATCTACGTCTGGTGTGCGCCCTCCTCCCTCCTCGTCTGGCGAGCGGTGTTCACATTCGGCGGCACACTGGGCAACTCGGTGGTGCTCTTCCGCAACTCGCTCGTCCCCCACTCGCTGGACAAGGTGACGACGGCCGAGGTCCACTTCTCGCCGCTGGTCGTGCTGTGGACGCTCCGGTGGTTCCCGCCCAGCGACACCTCATTTGTGGTGACACCCGACACCCTAAACACGCCATTCTTCAGCTCGTGGAGCACGGCCTGGGGTGCCTGGTGGTCCTACTGGCTTGAGGTCTTCCCACCGGCCTTCATGCTTTACGTGGTATGAAGGAAAGATGCTCTCATCCCATCGCTGTGTGGGCATAAGAGGGATCGTGTGTGTGTGTGTGTGTGTATCTGTGGGCCATGTCAGGTGTGGGCGGCGCCATATTACGGCAAGATGTTCATCTGGTCGGCCGACAAGATCGAGCGGAAGAAGTACGCCACTCTGTACAAGTATATGGCCCTCGACCGAGGCATCCTCTACAAGCTGCCCAGACGGCTGCAGCCCCACGCCAAGCTCATCTTCATCCTCTGCCACCTGGGCATCTTCCTCGGCGGCGCCGTCTACACGCCCATCCTCTACCACTCCTACTGGTGCCACACCCTCTGGCTGCTCTTCCTCCTCGCCGTCATCATCTTCAACGGCGCCCAGTTCTACATCGACTACTTCGCCAAACACTACGAGTCCTCACTGGCCGTCATCGAGCACCTGCAGTCGTCCATCGAACACGCAGCCAACTCGCCGGGCGGGCCCAATCACCAGCTCCACCCTCACCCCACACAGAGGCACCTCCACCCCCCACAGCCACACGTTGGCGGCGGCCATCATCATCATCACCATCACCATCATAACCACGAGGACACGGCTGCTCCCGATGGGTCGCCGTCAGCAGCAGCAGCGGCAGCAGTGACAGGCGAGGACAAGGCATCGCCCAGCCCCCCCATCACTGTGACCATGCCCGAGGGCGGCGAGCAGGCGAACCCCAATTCGGGTTCGCCTCCATTGCAGGCGGTGTCCTCATAATGCATCGATGGATGGGGGGGTGCGTGAGTGGGGAGAGGAGAGAGTGAGTGAGAGGCCAGGCCAGGGTGATGTTTTCTACTGTCGGTGGGTCGGGTCGCGTCGGGGGGGGGGGTCGGCGCGGGGGGGTCGGTCTAGGTACCTACCAAGAGAGAGCCTTTTTGTCAGTCAGTCAGTCAGTCAGTCTACGGATGCATATGTGCATGAGGACTGACTGGGGAATAATGGATGGTGGGTGAGTTGAGCTGTGCACGGGTATGTCGACGCGGCGCTAGTCACTCGGGAACGGCCACGAACGTATCCTCGAGTGGCTACCATCACGTCAAGATACGTGTGGGCAATTCAGCTCCCTGGTTGAGGCAACCTGCAGACAGAAAGGGAGGCGGCCAGACAGACAGACAGACAGATGGGGATTTGTTTTCTTGTGTGTGTGCAGTCGTAGTGAGATCGGCACGCGTCGCGTCCAGCACAGCACAGCACACGAGGCGATGAGACGTACACAAGTAGATATGTAGACGTTGGTGGAGCCGGACGAGCGAGCGCACCGTTTTGCCGGCGTATCTAAGTAACACAGCCAGCCAGATCCTCGGGGCGGGTGTCGGTAGGTTGCATGCGCGCCCGGGACGGCCAGGCGGACTTGATCGTATGCAAGTTCACCTGACCGTCACCTGCGTGCATGCGCCCGCCGACGCCGACACACAGGAACGAACCGTGGCTGGTCCAATCGACCGACCGATGCGATGATGGATGGGTTATTTAAGCGCTTCCCCCTCCTTTCTGCCTGCCTGTCTGCTCGTCTCTCTAGAGGTGTGTACTTGTGTGGTTGGTCCTGGTGACGTGGACGATGTGTAAGTGAGAGGAGTTTTGTTTTGCTTTCCTTTGCTCGCATGGTTTGTTTTGGTGAGCTCTTCAGTCAATCAATGGTCCTTCCTTCCTCTGTACTCAAGTCCATCGCATTCGCAGTCGTCCAAGGGCCAGTCACAGCACACCGTACATACAGACCAACACTCTCTCGCAGTCATCGATCGCACCGCCAGACAGACACACATGCGCTCGACGACCGTCCTGACTCACACACGGACCTTAGCATCTTCTCTCCCCTATTCACACACGCCCATGCAGACCGCCTGGCGATGACCCACCCTCACCTACGTGTCGAGAGAGGAGAGGCGCACCTGCCCGGCAGCAGGTGTCTGAAGCGTTGGGGGTCGGCCTGGATGACCGATGGGAGGCCGACCAGGGACGTTTCGACCTGCACGCCGTTTGGCGACCGGCCGATCCCATCCACACCCACACCACCACCACCACCACACAAATCTGATACAGACACGAAACACGGGGACGGCATAGGCATACGCTCACATCACCCACAAGCTAAGCTTGTGGTTCTCATGCACCCACCTGCCCATCTGTGGTGGCCATCCCGCCGCCAGCTTGGCGCCGTGTCGCCACTCACGCTGCCGCCCTCACGGTCACTCGCAAGAGCCTCCTCCTCAACCATCGCATTCTCGATAGCCCACCCCGCGTCAGCGAGACACCCGCTGCCCATAGGCGCCGACCTCGCCCTCTCAATGTCCCTTCCCAACTGTTTGAGCGACCTGAACTGCACGGCCACCAGGCTCTCCGAATGGCTGCGGTGCCGAAACTCAAAGGTGAAGAGATACCGCCGGCTCGCCAGACATGTGATCGGCTGGAATCCAAGACAGTTGCCGAGCAGGGCAAGGGTCGACGGGCGTGCGAACTCGGCGACGCCCCTGGAGTGTATCACCACTGTATTATCTGACTGGACCGGCAGCTTCTCAGCGATCTTGCGCAGGCCACCTGTCAGCGCACTCGTTACCAATTGCAGCTCTCGCCTCTCCCCTGACAGCCCGCCATCCAGTTCTCCGCAGTCAGGAGTGACGACGACCAGCCGATCGCCGAGGGCCGCAGCAGCCGGTGTACTGCTGCGAATGGCGGCCTCGCTCGTTGTGTCCGAAAGAGGGCATCGCCGCTCGATCACAACAAAGAAGTCCACTGTGCTGTTTAGCTCAACCAGCCGCAACTCCAGCATGCCCGCCTCGCCACCATAAATGAAAGAGTCGACAACCATCGCAGGCACCTCCCGCACCTCCAGGCCGTGCAGGGCGCATGAGTTTTCTCCGGTGTAGCCATAGTTGACGAGCGGCCGCCTCCCCAGCCCGGGGCGTCTTCGGGTCATCTGAGAGATGGACGGCAGGTCGAAGAACTCCACGGTGGCGCATAGCAGGACGAACGCCAGAAGGCCAGCAATCAGCGCCCGGTCTCGCGAGAAGAACTGCACCAGGCACTGCCTGATGCCGCGCCAAGAGCCTTTCCCGGGCCTCTCCTTATCGCTCTTTTCCAATGCAAGCAGAGTCGACAGCATCTTGCGCAGAGGAAGAATCTGCGTCGGTTGTGTTTGTTGGGTTGTTCGTTTTTGTAAGAATAGGTGGGAGAGAGTCGGGGAGAATGGTGAAGAGAGGATCTGCCGGGCGGTCAGTCCCGGATAAAGGATTAAGT